GCCGGGTGCTGAGGACAAAAAAAATGGAGTAAACCATAGTCTCAGTTACAAATAATCCATAGCTTACCGGGGGAGAGGGAAGTACAAAGATACTGCAATACACTACGTGGGATTCAATCCAAGACGCCATTAAATACAGGCACACCAGGATTCTGTGTGCCTCTCTGAAACTTGTGACAGTGTCTCAGCTTTAAGGGACGTTCTGATTTCAGAGACAAAAAAAGTGCTGAAATAGATAACTACTGTATGTGCTGTAGGAACAAAGAGGCGGTCCAGTGAGCGGGCTGCAGCAGGGAGACACAGTGAAGTAGTTAAATATGGGGAAGTCCATCACTGACGCCCAGCCCATTTGGTTCCTGGGGAGGACCCTCTTCACTGGCTCACAGACTGCTGCCTTCTTCCTGTACTCTCACAGGGTGGGGAGCGAGAGAGAGTTCTGGAATCTTCCTCTTTTCAGGAGGACACTCACCCCACTGCAATAGGGCCACATCTTCACAACGGCATTTCCCTCTCCTTCCCAGAGTCCCAGTGTTCACATACAGCCATACTCGGGGTTAGGACTTCAATACTTGCCTTTGGGAGGGGGCAGATGGTTCAGTCCGTGGTAGTGACCTGGGGCGTGTGGCTCAACTCCATGTTTTCTGTCTCATCTGTAAGAGAAGATGACAGAGTAGCTACCCACATAGCTCTTGTGAAGTTCAAGTACTCCACATACAGTGCTCAGCAGTGCCTTAGATCTGGCCCATGCTCAGTACAGTTATCAGCAGAGGTAATTCTAAGATGGAACCTGGACTTGAAGAATGAACAGGCCTTCTCCAAGTGGCAAAAATAGGTTCCAGGGGAGAAGAGAATATACCAAGGGCTTGAAGCTTGATTCTGGAACATTTTGCTTTTCTGCTCCATTGTATTAGGTGGGGGTTTTCTCCCCCCTTGAGGAATTGTAAATCTCTTTGACACCCTCTTTTCCCTCCTGCATCTTTCCCTCTGTCCCCCAATGCCTCCCCATCCCAAAGGACGTTGGTTCCTTCCGCTTCATTCTCAAGAGCACACACCTGCCCTGTAATTGATCACAAATGGGATCCTCCGAGCCGGGATCTAAGTTCTTTGTCTTTACACTTCTCTCCCCCACCTCCTACCCTTTCTTGTAGTTACGGTCAGCCTTTGTCCAACATCTTGCATTGAAGAGAGTCCACTGCTACCTCCAGTTTCTTGCGGGAGACTGCATGCAAATAAGTCTCCAGGTGGTCTGCCCTCACTTCCCAGAGTTCCCAGAGGGTTAACACCCTATCAGGACATTCAACAATGTAACTTTTAGTGAGTCAAATCTCTGAGAGATCCGTAGAAGTTAATGAGTACTCGATGCATAACAGAGCCAGCCTGTTCAGTGTTTTGCTAGGTTATGCTGCTGTATTGCCATTCAAAATCATTTTACTCCTAAAGGCCTTCTCTTCTCAGTATGATTGCTATTGACATAATGCCCCAGTTTTAGAAAGCAACTGACATCTTGAATAAGAATCCAGTCTTGGAATCAGAGTTCATCCACCCATTCATTCGTCCTCATGTATTTATCGAGTGTGTACTTAAGGTAGGGTACTCAACTGTAAGTAGAGGATTCAAGCTTGAACCAGACCAACACCGTCCCTACTCTGGCAGAGCTTACACTGGGAGAAGCCAGGAGAGGCTTGGGCCAGGCTTCTCGGAGCAAGTTCCCACTAAAAAGGGCTCACAAGGACAGGGAGAGAGGTAGGTGTTGTGGCACAGCAGGCTAAGCCTTTGATTGAGACACCTGCATCCCCTATTGCAGTGCTGACCCCAGTTCCAGCTTCTCTGTTTCTGATCCAGCTCCCTCCTAATGCACCTGAGAAGCGACAGATGATGGCTCAGGTACTTGGGTCCCTATCACCCATGTGGGAGACTGGGAGGAACTCCTGACTCCCAGCTGTGGCCTGGTGCAGCCCAGCTATGGCTGGTGGGTGTAGCCATTTGTGGAGTGAAGCAGTCGATGGTAGCTCTTTCTCTCTCTGACTTTAAAATAAAACAAATATATAAATAAAATCTTTTTTAAAAAAGGATGCAAAGAGTTAGCTAAGTAATGGAGTCAGGGAAAAGCAGTGATCAAATGAGATCCAAAACACTTTGCATATGGTGTAACTACAAACATGTAAGATTGTGTGCTTGTTAAACACACAGCTCTCCTTGGCTTTCCAATTTGTCCCAGGTCTTCCTTCCGCAAAGCTCCTTATCTCTGCTCCATTGTGAGAACAAACTCCTTTTTACTCTGTTTAACTCTTTTTAAAACTTTACTTTCATTTATTTGAAAGGCAGAGGTAGAAATAGATCAATCTTCCATCTGCTTGTTCACTCCCTACATGCCTGCAACAGCTGGGGCTGGGCCAGGCTAAAGCTGGGAGTTAGGAATTTAACCCAGGTCTCCCATGTGGGTGGCAGGGACCCAAGTACTTGAGCCATCACCTGCCGCCTCCCAGGGTGCACATTAGCAGGAAGGTGGAATTTGGAGCTGAGACAGAACCAAAATCCTGGTACTCCAATATAGGATGTCAGTATTCCAAGCAACTTATTACCTGCTGTGCCAAACACTCACCCCTTTTCAAATCTTGATTTATACATATTTAAATACAGATTTATTTATTGGAAGTCAAAATTACAGATAGAGAAGGAGAAACCGAGAGAGAAACTCTCTCTGTTTACACTTACTGGTTCACTCACCAGATGGCTGCAATGGCCGGCGCTGGGCCCAGCCAAAGCCAATAAGCAGGAGTTTCATTTCAGACTACCACGTGGGTGACAGAGGCCCAAACGCTTGGGCCATCTTCTGCTGCTCCTCTCAGGCCAGCAGCTGGGACAGGAACCAGAACCCATGTGGGATGCTGGCATCTCAGACAGCAGTTCAATGCCAGCTCCTATACATGTTCTTTACATTATTAATACACTCTGGGTTTGCGCTACAGGCAAAAAGCCTTCCTCAAATCAAGAGTGACTTGATTATTGTGTTGATTATCTGGGAAGTAATCTTTCAGACCAGACCTCACAGCTTCCAGAGTCAAGCAAGGGGGCTACAGAGTAGGATTTTGTTTTTCTTGGCCTTGACCCTGAAGGATGAACCATGCACATAGTTTAGGCAAGAGGTGATTACGATCGTGTTTACTCAACTGGTGTGAGTGAGATTCATAGTGAGAGATACATTTAACAATCTAACACAGAAGACACACAGATTATTCAAACATTAGTTTACCAAATTTTGGGGAAAAATTAACCCTTACTACGTGTGATACAACCTGATAGTTTATATCTCGGATTCTGATTCGGGTTTTTGAGGGTGGCAGTTCACGCAGGGTCACACAATCAATTTGGCAAGTCTTGGTGAGCACCTGAACCATAAAATGTGATCCTCCTTGGAGACAGGGAGGGAAAGAGTGGAGAAGAGGCCCAGACCTTGGGGTCTTTTGGAGCTAAAATGTGCTTATCTTAGCGATAGTCTACTTGTTATCTGTGGGTTGTTATCTGAAACCCAGGCAGATCAGTGAGCATGGCTGTGGGGTCTGGAGAATGGGTACAGGTCTTGCCACCGTGTGCCCTGGTCTCTGCACCATGGCTTGCCTCCTCTGAACAACAGTAACACTCACCTCACCTACCTGCACGGATGACGTGCTTAGCATACAAGAAACATTCAAAAATTCGCCACTGTGTTTCTTTTCCCCATGTATTTTCCCCTTGTATCACAAATTCTCTCTTATTTTAGGTTCAGCTTTTCTCAGCTTGCTAAGGAGGAGCCAGGGATGCATTTTGTGCACCGAAAGAGAGGCGGTCAGACGACCAGGGGCAGCAGGTAGCAACCTGGAGGGACCGCTAGGGAGAAAACCCAGGGGCCAGGGTAGAGGTCTCACACCTGCCAAGGCCAAGGCCAAAGCTCGAGGTCTCGGGGTCTGACTGCCTCAGAGAAAGCGGCGCATCTCTCCTTACACTTGCTCTCACAGCAACGCTTCTGACCCTAGTGTCTGGCCACTCATCCGGAGAAATTCCAGTGTATTCTGCATTGTCTCACTCACTTCAACTGGACATGCCCTCTGCCCGAGTACTGGAGGGTTCAACCCGGGACATCAAGAGGAAACAGAATGCTGAACCGAACACGGGAAGCACGGAGTAAATTCCCGTCTTTCGGAGGCGAAAGTCTCCCGTGTTAGAGTGTAACCCTCGTGGTCCGCTCCTGGGCTACTCCCACGCCAGTGTAACTCACCCGCGGGTTACTCCCAGAGGCGTGCAAACCATTTCACCTCCGCAAAATGCCAATTTGGGGGAACGACGCGCATGCGCACACTTTATAGGCACAGGAGTAAGGAAGACAAAACTGCAGGGTTTCTTAACACCGCGTGGGAAACCTCGGCATCGTCGGAAAGGGGAACCTGCCCTGAAACAGCACCACTGTCCAGGGCTGCCCCGCGGAACCCCTCCCGGCTGTTCACCCCGGTTTCACGTCCTTGTCTAGCTCCTTGCTCTTTCCAGCACCCCCTCCTTGGGGCCCGTGTCCCCCCAAGGCCTGCTTTTCCCGTTCTTTAATCCACCCCCCCCCCACCGCCCCCAGCTCCGGCATCTCCGACCAGGCGGGCCACCGAGAACACAACCGGAAGTAGAGTTAATATTGCGGTTGGCGGTCCCTCGCGCCTTCATTTTCCCTTTTTATCCTCGGACCCAGCCAGGGAGCGTCACGTGAGCGGTGGGGGGCAGGGAGAGAAAGTTTACACCGGCGACGAGCTGTCCACACGTGCTCAGCCGCCTCACAGGTTATTAAACTGCACAGCGGCTCCCCTGAGCCCAAACGGGAGAGATCTCCTAGGAACGGGAGAAGCAAAAAAAAAAAAAAAACCCGGGAAGGGGTCGCAGGCAGGGCGGAAGCGGTGCGCATGCGCGCGCGCCCCGCAGCCGGAAGGGCGGAGCCTGGAGGGCGGGCCCAGCCTGGGTGGGCGGGCCCGCGGCCGGGCGGGGGCGGGGCTGCTCGCAGCCAGGGGCGGAGCTGAGCCCGCCAGCCTGAGGAGCCGGTGGCACCTGAGGGAGCGCAGATGGCGGTTTCCACACGTGGCGCAGTTTTAACGAACATGTGAGGCGAGCAAAGGCAGCGCCTGTGGAAAAACTACTTCACACACGCGGCACCCTACTCCATCCCCCAGGGCGACGGCTTGGGGTTTTCTGTCGCCGCCTGTCGCTCAGTCCATGTCTCCCTCCTCCCCCCGGCCCCCAGGCCGGGGCTCTCGGGACAGGCGTCCGTGCGTGCGAAGCCCACCGGCACGCGGCCACAGCACGGTGTGCGCCTGCGCCTGGCGTCGCGCCGGGGCGGGGCAGCCCAGGCGAGGGCGTGTCTCCCGCGCGGCGCAGGGGGCGGAGCCTCGGCGCCCCGCCCCGCCCCTCCGGGGACTGACCTGCCGGGGCGCCGGGCCGGTGACGTCAGCCCGCCGTGACGCGCGCTGTGGGATAACTGTAAGTTTGTGAGGATCCTACAGCTTCCTGGGTGTGCGGGGCCCGGGTGTGTGTTCCTGGGCGGTCCTGGCGGCGGCGGCGGCTGTGGGGGGCCTTTGATCTCTGGGAGGCCGGGGGAGCCGCCGAACCTGGAAGGCACAGGTGCCCGCTCGGAGCCCGAGCGCGCCCTCCTGGCGGGAGGGAGCAGGGGTCAGGGGAGGCGAGGCCGCGCCCCGCGAGGCGGGGCCCCGCACCTTCTCCCCTGGGGCCCGGAGAGC